ACACATTAACTACTTCAACTCCGGACACTTTCATCCCCTTCCAGTCCAGGCCAATTTTCAGCACTGTCACACTTTATTTATTTCAGGTACTTACAGTGGGGATCGAAAGTTTGGGCACCCCAGCTAAAAATTTGTATTAATGTGCATAAAGAAGCCAAGGAAAGATGGAAAGATCTCCAAAAGGCATCCAATTACAGATTAGACATTCTTATAATATGTCAACAAAAGTTAGATTTTATTTCCATCATTTACACTTTCAAAATAACAGAAAACAAAAAAATGGCATCTGCAAAAGTTTGGGCACCCTGCAGAATTTATAGCATGCACTGCCCCCTTTGCAAAGCTGAGACCTGCCAGTGTCATGGATTGTTCTCAATCATCGTCTGGGAAGACCAGATGATGTCAATCTCAAAGGTTTTAAATGCCCAGACTCATCTGACCTTGCCCCAACAATCAGCACCATGGGTTCTTCTAAGCAGTTGTCTAGAAAACTGAAACTGAAAATAGTTGACGCTCACAAAGCTGGAGAAGGCTATAAGAAGATAGCAAAGCGTTTTCAGATGTCAATATCCTCTGTTCGGAATGTAATTAAGAAATGGCAGTCATCAGGAACAGTGGAAGTTAAAGCAAGATCTGGAAGACCAAGAAAAATATCAGACAGAACAGCTCGCAGGATTGTGAGAAAAACAATTCAAAACCCACGTTTGACTGCACGATCCCTCCAGAAAGAGATCTGGCAGACACTGGAGTTTTGGTACACTATTCCACTATAAAGAGATACTTGTATAAATATGGTCTTCATGGAAGAGTCATCAGAAGAAAACCTCTTCTACGTCCTCACCACAAAAATCATCGTTTGAACTTTGCAAATGAACATATAGACAAGCCTGATGCATTTTTGGAAACAAGTTCTGTGGACCGATGAGGTTAAAATTGAACTTTTTGGCCGGAATGAGCAAAGGTACGTTTGGAGAAAAAGGGGCACAGAATTTAATGAAAAGAACCTCTGTCCAACTGTTAAGCATGGGGTTGGATCAATCATGCTTTGGGGTTGTGTTGCAGCCAGTGGCACAGGGAACATCTCACGAGTAGAAGGAAAAATGGATTCAATCAAATTTCAGCAAATTTTGGATGGTAACTTGATGCCATCTGTGAAAAAGCTGAAGTTAAAGAGAGGATGGCTTCTACAAATGGATAATGATCCTAAACACACCTTGAAATCCACGGGGGATTACATCAAGAGGCGTAAACTGAAGGTTTTGCCATGGCCTTCACAATCTCCTGACCTCAACATAATCTATGGATAGACCTTAAAAGAGCAGTGCGTGACAGACAGCCCAGAAATCTCAAAGAACTGGAAGACTTTTGTAAGGAAGAATGGGCAAAGATACCTCAAACAAGAATTGAAAGACTCTTGGCTGGCTACAAAAAGCGTTTACAAGCTGTGATACTTGCCAAAGGGGGCAGTACAAGATATTAACTCTGCAGGGTGCCCAAACTTTTGCAGACGCCATTTTTTTGTTTTCTGTTATTTTGAAAGTGTAAATGATGGAAATAAAATCTAATTTTTGTTGACATATTATAAGAATGTCTAATCTGTAATTTGATGCCTTTTGGAGATTTTTCCATCTTTCCTTGGCTTCTTTATGCACATTAATACAAATTTTTAGCTGGGGTGCCCAAACTTTCGATCCCCACTGTCTATAGCGCCGTCAATTTACGCAGCAGTTTACATATATATTATACATTCACATCAGTCCCTAACCCTCAAGGGGAGTACAATCTAAGGTTTCATACATACACATACTAGAGACAATTTAGACAGGATCCAATTCACCTACCAGCATGTCTTTGGAGTGTGGGAGGAAACCAGAGTACCCAGAGGAAACCTACACAGGCACAGGGAGAACATGCAAACTCCAGGCAGGTGGTGTTGTGGCATGGGATGTGAACCAACGACCCTAGTACTGCCAGGCGGAAGTGCTAACCATTTAGCCATTGTGCTGCCCCAATTTGACTGACAATTGCTCAGTCGTGCAACACTGTACCCAAATTACATTTTTATCATTTTTTTGAGATAGAGCTTTCTTATGGCGGTATTTGATCTTCATTGGGTTTTTTATTTTATGCTATATAAATGAAAGAATACTGAAAATGTTGAAAAAATATTATTTTTGCTTAGCTTTCGGTATAAAATTTTGCAAATAAATAATTTTTTGCTTAGGCCTAAATTTAGGCTAAAATGTATTCTGCTACAATTTTGGCATAAAAATAACCCAAAACCATGTATATTATTTAGTCTGTGTGAAAGGTATGAAAGGTGTGAAAGGAGTCAACAAACTATGAGATATATACTTGAAAAAAGATCAGTTGAGACCCTAAAATGCCAGCCGCTGGTACAATGTATGGTAGTGATCGGGATGTTGGTATGACGTATGACTGTGATCAGGATGCTGGTACAACATGTAGCAGTAATCAGGAGGCTGATATGACGTATGGCAGTAATCAGGAGGCTGGTATGACCTATGGCAGTAATCAGGAGGCTGGTATGACCTATGGCAGTAATCAGGAGGCTGGTATGACCTATGGCAGTAATCAGGAGGCTGGTATGACCTATGGCAGTAATCAGGAGGCTGGTATGACATATGGCAGTAATCAGGAGGCTGGTATGACATATGGCAGTAATCAGGAGGCTGGTATGACGTATGGCAGTAATCAGGAGACTGGTATGACCTATGGCAGTAATCAGGAGGCTGGTATGACATATGGCAGTAATCAGGAGGCTGGTATGACCTATGGCAGTAATCAGGAGGCTGGTATGACATATGGCAGTAATCAGGAGGCTGGTATGACGTATGGCAGTAATCAGGAGACTGGTATGACCTATGTCAGTAATCAGGAGGCTGGTATGACGTATGGCAGTAATCAGGAGGCTGGTATGACCTATGGCAGTAATCAGGAGGCTGGTATGACGTATGGCAGTAATCAGGAGGCTGGTATGACCTATGGCAGTAATCAGGAGGCTGGTATGACCTATGGCAGTAATCAGGAGGCTGGTATCACCTATGGCAGTAATCAGGAGGCTGATATGACGTATGGCAGTAATCAGAAGGCTGGTATGATGTATGGCAGTAATCAGGAGACTGGTATGACCTATGGCAGTAATCAGGAGGCTGGTATGACGTATGGCAGTAATCAGGAGGCTGGTATGACGTATGGCAGTAATCAGGCTGGTATGACGTATGGCAGTAATCAGGAGGCTGGTATGACGTATGGCAGTAATCAGGAGGCTGGTATGACGTATGGCAGTAATCAAGAGGCTGGTATGACATATGGCAGTAATCAGGAGGCTGGTATGGCGTTGATCAGGATGTTGGCAGGAGGTATGGGGTGATCAGGACACTGGTATGGGGTGATCAGAACATTAGCATGAGGTATTGCAGTGATCAGGATGCTGGTATGTGGTGATCAGGACACTGGTATGGGATATGGCAGTGATCAGGACACTGGTATGGGGTATGGCGGTGATCAGGATGCTGGTATGGGGTATGGTGGTGATCATAATGCTGGTATGGGGTCCTGTCAGGTCTCAAAAGCAATGAAAACAGCATCTCATGGCTTGTGACTCCGTCCTCTAAGTTACAGCCCTCGTCAGACTCTTCAGGGATGTCCAGATGTATGTGTTCTTGTATATGTACTGTGGTTGGTTGGTTGCTTCCTTCAATCCTAGATAAAAGCTTAAGGGTCCCTGTTCAGGCTGTCAAGGTCTGGTGAGTTGGATGCCGTTGATCAGTGAGGGTGCAGGCTGAGGAAAGGTCCATCCAGAACCAAAGCATGCTGCAAACATAGAGGTAGCTGAGCCACCGAGTCTCCAAACAGGCATGGTCTGGATGAATCGAGCTGAGGCTGCTTTTATCTGCTTACCACTTGTGAGATGTGTGGAAGCCATGCTACCTCTTTCTATACAGCATGCTTCCCTCGATCCTTATGTAACCACAGGACTCAGCAGTGATTTAGGGGATGGCAGAAGGAACCACAGCTCATGGTGGGGGACACAGGCTCCCAACACTCCCAGAAGTGTTAAGTGAAAAGGAGAGAAGGTAGGAGTCATAGGCTGAGATCTGCCATTTTTTTAAAATTTTCTTTAGAGACCTGACAGGGTCTCTTTAAAATGTACTAGTCCTGATACATAGAGTGTTATGCTACACAAATAGTGGCTTTTTCCAGGACATCAACTCAGTCCCACCATCGCCTACCCCCCTACTGGTCCAGCAATACGATGGGCTGGTGGAGCCAAGTGCCTACTTCTTAGATGAAGTTAATGTGACACCTCTGGTTTTGATGCTCCTGGGATGCTCTACAAAGAAAAGGAACAGGTGCTTGGAGGTACTTCCTTTGGTATTTGAGTTCTGATTTCAGATTATTACAGCCTGAGACACAACTCAGCACTAATAGGACAAAATGGCGAGCAACTCCGTGAACTAGTATGAGAACAAATTGAGTCGTGATCTTCTGCTTTATAGCACTGATACAGCCTCATATATTACTTTTACTTCTATGTGGTTTGTTAGCTTTAGTCGGTGCAAGACATGGAAGACGGGGTTTGGAGGAGAGTTAAGAAATCAGTAAAGAGGCGCATTCCGTGTTATGCAGAGGAATGACAGCAATCTGATCTACTTAATTTTGCAGATGAGCGCCCAGATGAGAAGTGGATTGTGTTTGATGGGCCAGTTGACACTCTGTGGATAGAAAGCATGAATTCCGTCATGGATGATAATAAAGTCCTGACCCTCATCAACGGAGAGAGAATAGCCATGCCGGAACAGGTGAGCCAATCCCTTACCATCATTGTATTTACTGAAGGCTTGTGTATGTCTAGTCACTTCTGTATGCAGATTACATAGTGATCCCACCAAAGTCCTCCAGTGTAACTTTAGGGTGCGGTTGCCATCATCCCTGTTTCCGTAATAGAGAGAATTGTATCTTATTTTGGGGGATTTGTAGCCTCTCTGGTGGTATTCCCGAGTGTAGCTCGGGGTAAAGTTTCAGCACCACAAGTGGTAACCCCGAGCTACACTCGGGAATACACTGCGGCGCTGCTCCACGATCCCTCGATCACTTACCTGCTCCTGTGATGTCCCTCCTGCAATGTCCCAGGCAATGTCCTCCGGCCGATGCCGGCATCTGTCATCTGGGTTCCGTTCCCTGCGACGTCAGGACGTACGGGGGACGGAATGGCGGGAAATTTGAAATTGACAAAAAGTGACATTCACTAAATACACTAAAATCACATAGTATAACATTCCTGTATCAAACCATTTCACATACATTTTGTCCCGAGTGCTTTGTCCGGCGCCCTGCCTGCATTTTTACTGTTCTTTCTGCCTGGAAACTGAGAAACGTCCATGGCGTCCAAAAAGCGTCCCTTTAGGTCAAAAGCGGTTTTAGACCGGCTAGAGAACAGCGATAGTAAATCAGAACCACTTGCAGAATTGAGTGATAATGATTCGTGGGGGAAATTCCTCATCAGACACTGAAAACGATTCTGCGACTGAGCTCAGCGATGTGCGAACTTGGCGCTATATTTTCAGATTTCAGTGTTTTTGGTTTGATTATATTATTGAATTAAATGTATTATTATTATATTATTATTTTTTAGGAATATTTATTAAATTATAATTTATGATTTCGTGTTTCAAATTTTATCCTACCCGGGATGTTTACTAGACTCTTGTTCGGACAGATTTCACTGAGTTATTCCTAAAAATTACAGGCTACAATAAAAAAATACATATTTCCATGCAAAAAAATGTACCGCTTTGAGCACAGAAATATGGACATAATCAGACCGCTAGGGAGGTTAAGGCAACCTTAAAGTATATACAAAACAATCAATTATTTAAAAAATTAAATTTTATTTGACACATAAATACATATTGAATAAACAACACGTTTCACCAATAAACTATATCAATTTTTGCCAAATTCTGACCCTACCATCTGAATGTCGCAGCAACCAGTCTGCCCATTCTCCTCTGACCTCAACAAGGCATTTTCCTCCACACAACTGCCGCTCACTGGATATTTTTTCTGCTTTTCAGACCATTCTCTGTAAACCCTAGGGATGGTTGTGCGTGAAAATCCCAGTAGATCACCAGTTTTTGAAATACTCAGACCAGCCCGTCTGGCACCAACAACCATGCCACGTTCCAAGTCACTTAAATCCCCTTTCTCCCCATTCTGATGCTCAGTTTGAACTTTAGCAAGTCATCTTCACTACGTCTAGATGCTTAAATGCATTAAGTTGCTTCCATGTGATTGGCTGATTAGCAATTTGCGTTGAACAGCTGTACCTAATAAAGTGGCTGGTGAGTGTATATAAGCCTTTTTTTTTTTTTTAGACAGGTACTCAGAGCAAACCTTTACTAGCGATGGACTTGTCTAATAGTTGGGCACTCAGACCAAACTTTTGCAAGCATCTAGTTTATCACAATTTTGACCTTTCAGATTGAGATTTTATACATGTAAAGCTTGTGCCATAGACAGATATTGTCTTTTACTACAGTCAGGCATGTTGCTTTGACAGGTACTCAACGGCCATTACAGCAGCTGCCTTATTGCTTACCTGTCTGTGTGTCTGTCTGTGCACAGGTCTCTCTGCTCTTTGAGGTCGCAGATCTTGCTGTCGCATCTCCAGCCACAGTGTCACGTTGCGGTATGGTATACACCGACCACACCAGCCTGGGATGGAAGCCCTATGTCCAGTCCTGGCTAGAGAAGAGGCCTAAGGTAAGATACTAGTCGGATGACTGAACCTTCTTGAATTTAGTGGATTAAGTGGTAGTTGAGAAGAGAGCATAGGAAACTGGCAGTTACAAGATGCTGTATATTCTGTGTCTTTGTGCTGTTTAACTGCAGCAGATTTGTAGCTGATAGTGGGGCATTCATGGACTGGTTTTGCATCAGCAGAGGCTGTTTATTTTCTGTAGCTAAACAGAATTTATAGCTTTTTACTTTATTGCTGCAAAACAACATGGAAATGCCTCCACTTCTTACCGTGGTGGAAATGACGGTGTACATTTGCTGCCATTTAGTCTTCACTTTGGATTGCTGTGTACACTAGCCAGAATATTTTTCAGAAGATCAGTTACATAGTTACATAGTTAGTCTGGCTGAAAAAAGACAAAAGTCCATCCCGTTCAACCATTAAAAAAAAAAAAGTTATAATCCTATACACCCACAGGTGATCCAGAGGAAGGCAAAAAAAAACGAGCAAAGCACGATCCAATTTGCTCCTGCAGGGAAAAAAATCCTTCCTGATCCCCCGAGAGGCAATCGGATATTTCCTGGATCAACTTTACCTATAAATGTTATATCCAGTTATATTCTGTGTATCCAAGAAAGAATCCAGGACTTTCCTACAGCAATCCACTGAGCTGGGCACAACCAACTCTGGAGGGAGTCTATTCCACATTCTCACAGCTCTTACTGTGAAGAAATCTATTTTCTTCCAGATGTAAAGAGTGCCCCCTTGTCCTCTGTGATGACCTCACGGTGATTAGCTCTACACGAAGTTCACTATATGAACCACTGATGTATTTATACATTTAGATCATATCCCCCCCTTATGTATTATACATGGAGATCATATCCCCCCTTATGTATTATACATGGTGATCATATCCCCCCTTTATGTATTATACATGGTGATCATATCCCCCCTTATGTATTATACATGGAGATCATATCCCCCCCTTATGTATTATACATGGTGATCATATCCCCCTTATGTATTATACATGGAGATCATATCCCCCCTTATGTATTATACATGGAGATCATATCCCCCCTTATGTATTATACATGGAGATCATATCCCCCCCTTATGTATTATACATGGAGATCATATTCCCCCTTATGTATTATACATGGAGATCATATCCCCCCCCCCTTATGTATTATACATGGAGATCATATCCCCCCTTATGTATTATACATGGAGATCATATCCCCCCCTTATGTATTATACATGGAGATCATATCCCCCCTTATGTATTATACATGGAGATCATATCCCCCCCCCTTATGTATTATACATGGAGATCATATCCCCCCCCCCCCTTATGTATTATACATGGAGATCATATCCCCCCCCTTATGTATTATACATGGAGATCATATCCCCCCTTATGTATTATACATGGAGATCATATCCCCCCTTATGTATTATACATGGAGATCATACCCCCCTTATGTATTATACATGGAGATCATATCCCCCCTTATGTATTATACATGGAGATCATATCCCCCTTATGTATTATACATGGAGATCATATCCCCCCTTATGTATTATACATGGAGATCATACCCCCCTTATGTATTATACATGGAGATCATATCCCCCCCTTATGTATTATACATGGAGATCATATCCCCCTTATGTATTATACATGGTGATCATATCCCCCTTATGTATTATACATGGAGATCACATCCCCCCCCTTATGTATTATACATGGAGATCATATCCCCCCTTATGTATTATACATGGAGATCATATCCCCCCTTATGTATTATACATGGTGATCATATCCCCCCTTATGTATTATACATGGTGATCATATCCCCCCTTATGTATTATACATGAAGATCATATCCCCCCTTATGTATTATACATGGTGATCATATCCCCCCTTATGTATTATACATGGAGATCATATCCCCCCTTATGTATTACACATGGAGATCTTATCCCCTCTTATGCATTCACTATATCTCTCCCCAGACCCTGCATTCACTATATCCGCTCTCCCCGGACCACGCATTCACTATAATCTCTCCCCGGACCCTGCATTCACTATATCCGCTCTCCCCGGACCCTGCATTCACTATATCCGCTCTCCCCGGACCCTGCATTCACTATATCCGCTCTCCCTGGACCCTGCATTCACTATATCCGCTCTCCCCAGACCCCACACACTATATCTGCACCCTGCATTCACTATATCCGCTCTCCCCAGACCCTACATTCACTATATCCGTCTCCCCGGACCCTGCATTCACTATATCCGCTCTCCCCAGACCCTACATTCACTATATCTGGTCTCCCCGGACCCTGCATTCACTATATCCGATCTCCCCGGACCCTGCATTCACTATATCCGCTCTCCCCGGACTCTGCATTCACTATATCTGGTCTCCCTGGACCCTGCATTCACTATATCTGGTCTCCCCAGACCCTGCATTCACTATATCTGCTCTCCCCGGACCCTGCATTCACTATATCTGGTCTCCCCCGGACCCTGCATTCACTATATCCGGTGTCCCCGGACCCTGCATTCACTATATCTGGTCTCCCCGGACCCTGCATTCACAATATCCGCTCTCCCTGGACCCTGCATTCACTATATCTGGTCTCCCTGGACCCTGCATTCACTATATCTGGTCTCCCTGGACCCTGCATTCACTATATCTGGTCTCCCTGGACCATGCATTCACTATATTTGGTCTCCCACAGTACACACAACATGGAAATACAATTATTTTAGTAAATATAAACTGGTAAATACCTTTTCTCCTCAGCAGTATATAGCAGTCTTGTGGCTTCTATCAGTGTTTGGCAGAGCACTGGTCAAAGCTTGTAGCAGGAGTTTTGATTTTGCTGTAGGAGGATGTATTACCCCTGACCCTCTGTCTGGACAGTGCTGATTGGCCCTGCACTGATCACATGCACTCTCCCAAGGGAAAAAAAAAAAAAAACCTCTCTAGCAATACACACCAAACTGAGCATGTGCAGGGTTACTCCACACAATATGTCTTATCAGGAGGTAAGAAGGGGAGGATCAGAGAAGTCAGGATCAATCAGCCTTTGTACACAATGCAGAGTATTAACCCGTTAGGTTCCACAGTGAGTATAACAAGCATGCTTTACTGCATCTACAGACTGATTGTACTGTTGTGGGTTTAGTAGTGGACCTTGAAAACCAGGAGCTAATTA